TGAATGATCAGAAATGGCTCATGGACTTAGCTTTTCTTGTCGACATCACACATGAGCTGAATGTACTGAACAAGAAGTTACAAGGCCAGGGGCAGCTTGTCAGTGCTGCCTATGACAACGTGAGAGCATTCTCCACAGAACTTGTGTTATGGAAAGCCCAGCTCTCTCAGACAAACATTTGCCATTTTCCAGCATGCAAGGCACTTGTGGATGCAGGTACACCATTCAGTGGTGAGAAGTATGTTGATGCTATTGTGAAGCTACAGAAGGAATTTGATCCCAGATTTGCAGACTTCAAGACGCACAGAGCCACTTTTCAAATTTTTACAGACCCCTTCACCTTTGATGTGCAAGATGCCCCTCCTGTGCTTCAAATGGAGCTTATTGACCTGCAATGCAACTCTGACCTCAAGGCCAAATTTAGGGAGGTGAATGGAAAAGCAGACAAGCATGGGCAATTTTTGAGAGAATTGCGCCCCAGCTTCCCTGAGCTTTCCCGAATGTTCAAGCGGACCATGTGCCTTTTTGGGAGCACATATTTGTGCGAAAAGTTCTTCTCCACCCTGAACTTTAACAGTCCAAGTACAGGTCCAGACTTACTGATGATCATTTTCAAGCCGTACTGAAGGTCTCAAGTGCCTCCTCTCTCAAGCCAAATGTGGCTCAGATATGTGAGAGGAAGTCTCTGGCAGCAAGGAGTAAGCTGGAGAAGCCATGTTCTGAGGAACTGTTCATGATCTTCATTCAATGTTCCATTCATGTGTTCAGGACAGTTCATGTATTGGAGAAATCATTAACTGTAGATGACATTTGAGGATATTTTTTAACAACGCTTTTTGTGGAATCCCTTATGCGGCCCAGCCTCACCCAGACTCTGCCTCCAGCGGCCCCCAGGTAAATTGTGTTTGAGACCCCTGTTCTAAAGAAACATAAAAGCAATATTTATGTTGCTTTAGAGCTTACAATTTCAACAAATTTAAAAGATTCTAGTTGGCAAAGGGTGATATTTCATGTTTCTAATCCAATCAGATCAATATGGACAATTTCTTTAAATAACAGCAAAGAAAGATTTATTGAAGTTCTTGAAGAGCTTTACAAATGGGATGTTATTACTCAAAGGGCTTTGAAATAGCAGATAGGATACAATAAAAAAACAATCTCTTCATGCCCTCTTTTATATACTGTAAAAGAAGAGGAAAATGGAAAAAAGATTTCACACAAGCTCTCCATAAGCAAACCACACCCATATTTTAACTTTTATGTTCAATTGTACATTAACTATACTTGCAATCTTACAATTTTCACCATTCTCAATTATGTTTTTTTTTAAATCTGATTGGGATTTTTATCACATTTGTAGCATTGATTACAATTCTATATGCATTATTATACAAATCTCTAATAAAAGTCTTCTATTCCTTCAATTCTGTTTCAACCCAAATCATTTCATAGCTTTTTAAAATTCTCTTTACTTTGTTGAAGGCTTCATGTTTACTTCTCTTCATACACTTCCATCAAAGAAATATTGGAGTAGGATTCATACAGAAGATTTTAAAATGAATATAAAGATAAAACTGGGGACTTCTTTTCTTTATTTTGTTTTATTTATCTGTCAAACATGTACAAGATGACAAGTATGAACATAAACAAGAACAAAGGAAGTAAATACAGATAAATGCAGACAATAAGACAGGGACGGTAGGCACATTGGTATGCTTATACACACCCTCTTTAAGGACCTCTTAAGAATGGAATGAGGTCCATGGTAGACATGGTAGGTTGAAGCTGTAAGCGGTTGAGTCTGTAACAACAGTCTGGTAGGGCGTTCTAGATAGACCACTCTATTGTTGTATTTTCTGCAATTGAGTTTGTATCAGTTTACCTTGAGTTTGTATCAGTTGTTTGCCCGTGTATTACTATGATTGAAGCTGAAGAAGTCGTTGACAGGCAAGATGTTATAGCAGACAATTTTGTGAAGTATGCTTAGATCAGACTGCAGTTCCAGATTGTCCAGGCTCAAAATTTCGAGCCTGGAGGCATAGGGAATTCTATTGTAAGTGGAGAAGTGGAGAACTTTTCTTTTGGGTCTAACAAAGAACTTGAAAAAGTAGAACTTTGATGTTATATATGCTAATAGCAGCAAGAATGCTCTATGCACAAAAATGGAAAATTATTTTAATTCTCACAATGAATGACTGGCTCAAAGTTGATGGAGTTAGCAGAGATGACTAAATCGACTGATTAATTAAAGAAAAGAACACAACTTTGCTTTTACTTGAAAACGACTTCTCAACTTCATGCTTAAGGGAGAAAAAAACAGAAACTTCAATTTTGAGTTTTGTGGATTAGATAAGTTTGTTGTTGTAGAAATGGCGAGGAACATATTACAGGTAGTCCTCAACTTACAACCACAATTGAGCCCAAAATTTATGTTGCTAAGTGAAATATTTGTTAAGTGAATTTTGCCCCACTTTACAACTTTTCTTGCCTCTGTTGTTAAGTGAACCATTGCAATTAAATTGGTAATCTGGCTTCCCCATTGACTTTGCTTGAGAGAAGGTCACAAAAGCTGATCCCATGACCCCAGGACACTGCAACCATCATAAATATGAAACAATTGCCAAGCATCTGAATTTTGCTCATGTGACCATGGGGAAGCTGCAACAATCATAACTGTGACAAACAGTCATAGTCACTTTTTTCAGTGTTATAACTTTGACTGGTCATTAAATGAGCTGTTGTAAGTTGAGGACTATCTGTATTATGTAAAAATAAAAAGTTGAGGTTGTATGCTATTACCTTATTGTACCGCACTAACAAGAAATGGAAGTCAATGCTTTTGTTTTCGTTTCCTCTTTTATCTTACACTTTTTCCTCCCCTACTTTCCTATTATTTTCATTTTTCTTTATAGTTTATATTTTGATAACTAATAACATTTGTAAGACAACACACTTTCAAACAACTTATTTCCATCAGAATTGCTCTGCATTTTTTCTGCCACTGTGCAGCATTTATTCTCACACAACCTTTTTTCTATCCAGAACCCCCTTCATTTTATCATTATTCCATACATTATTTCTCATTGTCACAATTTTCTGCATTTCAGTGGTGCTGTCTAATATAATTCTTTCCAATTCGGTTCCAAGCAATTTCCACATTCTCTTTCATTTTGCTCATTTTTCATTCATTCTATTAAGAGATTCTTAACTTCAATACTTTTCATATAGAATATATACACTCTTTTCCTGCAATTCTTTCATTCTAATTTCTTTTACTTTTTTCCCATTCTTCCATGCTCATTCTTCCCCGAGCCTAATACTACAATAGTCTCTCCCACATTCATTAGCATTATATCTTTGTGTTCTCTAATTATCTCAGCCTATTATAATAAATGATCAGTTCTAGCTTACCTTAAATTGATAGTCATTCCTTTGCCATATTTACATACGAATACATGATACATGAATAGACATATGTTTATACATCAATAGACTTACTTTTATGAAAGAAACAAACCTTTATTTAAATAAAAATATACCAAAATGTTATCCATTCTCATTTGTTCTTGGATTTCTGAATGGCACAGTAACTTTTTCTGTGTGTTTTTCAGAGATACACAAAAGACTTTGTTCTGTTTGATGGTATCGTTACTACAGACAACACATTGATATAGAAATAAGACCATGATACAATCAAAGGAAACAAATGGAAGACAGCATAGCAAAATAACTGACAGTAAACACAATTTTATGAGTTGACAAAAAGGACGTTGATGACAGTGTATATTTGTTCCTCAGTGCTTGAAATACGATTGTTAGTAATAAAAGTCAGAAGATCAAATTCTTTATACTGCCTGTGAGCCCAATGCATATTTCTCTATTATGAATTTCTTATATGAATTTTAATTAATAATCTGTTCATAATAAAATCTGACCAATTTTTCATTTTGTAATTTGAGGCAAGAGTGACACCTTGTGTGCAAAATAAACAGGACAGGACAGTGATCTTTGTTCCTTGTTCTTAGCATTACAAATCCACAGAACTGCTTCTTAGAATTTTAGAAGCGATAAATGGGGAAAGTACCATCAATCATATATACAAATAGAACAAATTAATCAGAATAAGTATTTTTAGCATTGATGCAACTACAAAAATTCATAGGTGGTAACGTAAAACATTTTGCACTGCTCAACATCCTCAGGAAAACTACTCCTTTCCTAAACAATTTACCAGGAAAAGGAATGAAAGGGGTATTAAAAACAAGAAAGGAGAAAGGGAAAAAGGGGAAAAAAGAGGCAATAGAAAGTACAGTGGTGGCAGAAAGAATAGGGCTTTAAAAAATGAATTGTAGCCCCCATGAATAAACCACAAGCCATGATTAGTAAACTATTTGAACCAGTGGATCCACTGGAATTTTGAGAGCATGTTGAAGCACAACTATGGGGAGTTGCTATAATAGTTAATTTTACCATAGGGTTAAATTTCTTAACTCCAGCAAAAAGTCAAAGAGAGAAATGATTGTAAAAAAATAGAAGGGAGAGGATTTGGATGTGTTCTAGCGGAAGGAGAGATTTAACCATAAGATTTTAATGAAAATAAAATATATATTCAGTGAGAAACTATTTTTAGGCAGATTCATTAATATGTCTGTGTGGTTAAGTATAATAGCTTCATCTTTGGTTTTTACATGCTTGTAAAAACAAACTCAGTGGCTACTTTCGAATCATTGACACTTAGCAGAGCAGGCCAATGTTGTTTTTAAAGTATGTCATCCGTTATACGTCATCAGTTAGACCCAACAAGTTTTTCTAATATAATTTTTAAAAGCTGGAAATCATATGATTTGGTTTTTGTCTACAGAGAAGTAAAACGACAGCTAAAATATGACAGCCTAAGCATGAAGGAGAAAGCTGCTGTATCAGGAGAATCGCGTCAGGTATTTTTGGTTGGTACCTATCCTGGAAAGAAAAGGAAAAGGGGACTTTTTTTAACCCGGCAGCCCTAAACAGATGGGCTCCCATGCATATACCAGCTAGAAATGAAGCCAGATTAACATTTCCAGATTTCTGCTTTGACCATAGTGATCTGATTTCCTGTCCGGATCGCATTTACTGTGGCTTTGATCGGTCGATTTGTTGTCTTGTTTACCCCTCTTGGACTGGCTGAAAATAAGAAAGAAAATATCAGAGATTAAAAATGTTTGCTCCCTCAGTGAACCTGTAAAAAAAAATCTGCAAGCTGTTTGCAGTTTCACTGATGAACTTTGTCCAAAAATGAAAAAAAAAAATGCCATTTAAAGATAGTGACTAGTAATCAGAAGAGAGGGAATGTGTCTTCCACAGCATACACAGTAGCCAACAGACTGGAGAGGTTTTCTATAATTAAATAAAATGAAGTAAAGAGAATTAGTTGTGTTGGCAAAGTAAAAAAAAAAACACTATTACTGACATACAGGTAGTATAGGTAGTCCTTGACATATGACCCCAATGGAGCTCAAAATTTCTGTTGTTAAGTGAGACATTTGTTAAGTGAATTTTGCCCCATTTTACAAACTTGCTTGCCACAGTTGATAAGTTAGTAATCTGGTTCTTAAATGAATCGAGTTTTCCCATTGACTTTGCTTGTCGGAAGGTTATAAAAGTTGACCTTGGAATACAGCAACTGTCATAAAAATGAACCAACTGCCAAGCATTTGAATTTTGATCACATGATCATGGGGATGCTACAAAGGTCATAACTTGAGAAAAGTGGTCATAAGTCACTTTTTTCAGTGCTGTTGCAACTTTGAACAGTTACTAAATAAACTGTTGTAAGTCAATGAGTTGTATGTACTTAACTCACAAACATTTATTAAATGACTGTTCAAAGTTACAACAGCATGAAAGAAGTGATTTACAACTGGTCCTCACACTTAACAACCATCACAGCATCCTGATGATTATGTGATAATGTATTTGTAATAGTTGCAGCATTCTGGAGTCATGAGGTCACCATTCGTGTCCTTCCCAGCCAGCTTCTGACAAGGAAAATCAATGAGGAAGCCAGATTTGCTTAATGACTATGTGATTCTCTTAACAATGATTGGATTTTTTTTTGCAAAACTGAGTGTTAAATTAATTACTTTCCTTAGCAATGAAAATTCTGTTCCTGATTGTGGTTGTATACCAGAAAAATAGGCAAAATTGTGTTCCCAATGGCCTGAGGTGGGCAAAGGATGACACTGCATGTTTTTGCCCTTGAGGAATGGTCAGTGGCCAAAACTCACTCTAGGACAAGCAGGTTCTACAAACCAGACTAAGTGCTAAATACTGTATGTAAAAGCAGGGGAGATATGGGTAGAGTTAATTCCTTATATGGAGCTTCTCCATTCACAAAACAGGCTGCCATGATGATATGCCCAAATGCAAGGCAAAAGATAGGCTGATGGGACTGCCTACCTCCCCTCTTGACTCCATCTACCCCACAATATTTTACTTTCTTCTCTGGAAAAGAAAGACATATTTCTAAACAATGGACAGATCTGTGTTTTTTCTGCAGCTTGCAAGTATCTCATTACTTTATTAAAATAATCTTTCATAAACAAACTCAGATGAGAGCCCAGTGGAAACTATATAGTTCACTGCTATCCAACATAGCCTGCTACTGCTTCAACAGACAGGAAAACTGTACTCCTGCTACAGTTGTTAGGGAATCAAGACCTTTTCCAGTTCAATCAGCCAGACTCTATCTGGTTACCTAAATTACCCAGGAAAATCAGGAAAAAGCAAGACTAAGTGTTTATGTAGTATGCCGATATTCCTGTCTGCATTACTAGTGTTAACAAAAATCACCCAAAACTTGTAAGAAAAACGTATTAATACAAGCAACATAACATTCCCCTGAAAAACAAAAGAAAACCACCAAGAGACTGTTAGTGATTTTTATTCACACATTTTTGCTAATCTTCAAAAAAGAGATCACTTTTGCTTAGGCCTAAATATTAGCAAACATTTCTTCAGTAATCTAGATTTTAATTTAAAAGTCTTTTTACAGTGATGATTTATAGCATCACAAAAATGCCTTTGCAATCCCAAATTTACCCTCCCCCCCCCCCCGCCCTTTCAGCTCATATGTGCTAACTACATCTTTTCTCCAGGCTATTATTTTAAAGTCCTTATTTTGTATTACAAAACACCAGCCTGCCACAAAATCCAGAGAAGGATGAGGAGAGTCAGGACAATGACACAAAGGGAAAATGTACATAATGAACCCAAGGACTGGGTTCTGCTAAGAATTACTAATGATTGTTAAATCAACAACGAATGAATGCAATGGGTTTGGAAAAACAGAATTGTAGTTTTGGCTTAATTTGTTTCATATATTTCCCAACTTAGGCAGATGAGTTGATTCCTTTTGTGAACCATACTCTCCAAACAAGATTTTCTGACACATTACTTTTATGTGTGAAGGGTCCTGTGATGCAAACTCCCTTCCTATGCCAGTCCACAGGAAATAAAGTTTGCATAGAGCCATGTATTTGAGGAAATACTTGAAGTGCACCAAGGAGGGGCTCCTTGGATTTTGGCCAAAATACTTTTCTCTATTTTATTAATAGCTTACAAAAACAGTGGTTTGGCCACAATTGAACATTTCACCTTTGCATTTGGCAGAGATTTTAAAGGGTGTTCAAAGTTTCTCCATCACAAAGAGAAGATGAAAATATACTGAGTTCAGAACAAATAAACAAAAAAACAAAACAACCTCAAACATTTACAAAATGTGAATACCTCCAAATTATCCTGGAATGCCATTTTATACCTAAGTAATCACATAGGAAATGTCAGTTAGTAATCTGCGTAAATCAAAATTATTGTATGAATGTTACAAATCTGCTAACAATGATTAAACTAATAGTTATCAGCTATCAATTATTAACCCCATTTAAAATATCTTTTTATATTGCAATATTTAGCTTACCTGAAGTCTCCCTCTTTTTTCTATTTTTTGGAACAGTTCTGAGCTGTTCAGTCTTTTACATGAAATGCAAATAACCCAAACTAGAGGGACCAGTTATCAATTCTTTTAACCATAGTTGACAGACTGCCTTGGTTTGCCATTTATATATACATTCTTATAATGGATGTGTCTGTTCCTTTTTCTCTCTCTCTTTAGATTTCTTTTTGCAATTTATGCATTTATTTGACCTTGGGGATATAAATCAAAGTTTATATACACTATCTTTAAAATTCAGCTAATACATTGACTGTCGGTCTGTCTGTTGTACATGTGACCTCTGAATTCCAAGGAATGGGATACTATTGCTAATGGGAAATAAGGCCATGCATGCAGTATACTTCTTTTTTTAATTAGCTATCAGAAGCACAGAAGATAAATTAACCCCTCTTTAAAATGCTTCAAGGTAGAAGAAAATTACATCTCTCCATAATAGCCAGTACCTCACCTTCTAAAAACTATAACAAGTAAAGCAATACTGGTTTTGATGTATGAACACTCCCACATTTTAAAAATGACTGTTTAAAATGCCACAATGAAGGGAACGGGGAAGAAAAATTATGCTTATGTATTATGACATTATATTCATTAGTTAAATGTTCATGTATTTATGTCAATATTTTCATAACAGCAATGGAAACACATTGCCAAAGAAAGAATACAGCAAATAGAAGCTAAAGTGTGGTCTTACAGAAAGCAATATGGTTTTCTTCCCTTAAGTTCATACTAAAGCTTTTTGTAAGTATAGAATGCTTTTAACATTATTTCTTCCTTCCTGGAATGACTTTGAAGTGAAATATGCTGTTATTGCTTCGGTTATCCTATGCTGTGGAGGTTTTATGTTTGTTATAGGTCTTCACTTTTATGTTTTCCCAATTTTATATAAAAGTCACTTTTGTGCGATTTGGGCAGGCATATAAATGAAAATGAATGAATGAATGAAAGAAAATTGTTGACCATTTGATTAAGCCAGGAATGAAGGCTTCTATATATTTTTGAGATAATGAAAGTTGTTTCTGAAGATTACATGGGTATAATGCTGTTTCTTTTTAATTATTTCCCTATTTGATTTTTCTATTTTTTTAATGAAGATTTATTCCTTTTTTAATACACACACACACACACACACACACACACATCCCTTGAGTCACTGACCAGAAATACATATACATATATATTCAAATGATTTTATATACATTGTATTAAATTAGATTCATGTGTATATATGATACATTATGATATACAGTATGTTATCTATAGCATGTATGATACATTATACATATATTATAGCCAAGCATGATATTCCCCTCTGAAAAAAAAATCTGAAAAGTAGCCAGGGGTGCCTTTTCCTTCCGACCTTGCCCTCCTCCCCAAATCTAATCATCCCTCCCCACACCGCCAACAGGACCCTGGAGGCACCGGATCCTAATTATCAACGGCGGGAAAGGAGTAAAAAAAGAAAAGGGAAAAAAAATCAGAATTGTTAATCAAGGGAGCTCCAGTTCCAGTCGCCGCTCCAAGCTCTTTTTTTTCTTCCCCCCTTTGCGCGACTTCCCGCAGGGGAATTTTCCGGTAAATGAACATTGCTTTCGCTCTCCGGAGGGAGCTGCAGCCGTCTGGCTCTTTCCATACCTCCGCATCCCCAGGAAACCTCTCCCCCCCGCCCCATGCCACCCCCGTCTTCTTCCCTTCTCCCACCTTCCCCTGCCTCGCAAGATAAGTAGCCAACCTGCTGTTCGGCTCGTCCGCTTGCCAAGCCAGCCAGCCAGCCCGCCTTCCCGCTGCAGGGATGGTCCAAACTAACAGTGCTGCTTATTGAGTCAGAGGTGGGAGGGGTAGGAATTAGGGGGAGAGGGGACAGAGGGGGTGAGGAACAGGAGAGGAGACGCCTTGGAAACCATGCAAGAACTTTTCTGCTTCTGATTACCCCCATGCTTATAAGTTGCAAAGGAAACACGGAACTCAAAACAGCCCAGCTGCGCGGCTCAGCTCAGTTCGGGTCTTTCTCCCCACCACTTAAAAACACGGAGTTCCGGCGCTTCCCACGCTTGCAAGCGGAGAGAACCGGCTGGCTTTTTTCCACCGACCAGTGGCAACTTTGCAAAAAAAGCATAATAATAATAATGATGATGATGATGTTCGGAAAAGAAAAAAATTGGAATTCCGATTT